GTGTGACAGGTGGAATGGCACTGGAATATGGGTGCTTCTAAGCTCTGGTTACCAGTTTGATTACAGTTACCTGTTGGGCAGTGGATTGTTCCCGTTACACTGAAGGCAGTGTAGCTTAGTTTTCCTCTGTTCTACCTTGGTTACTTCCTGTTAGTTTTGTCCCTTATAACACCTTTATACTTCTCTCTGTTCTCATCTTTGGTCTATCACAGACCTCTGTGTGATCACTGAAATATTTAGGGTTTTGCACAGTGCTTGAGGATTGACGCCAAACAAATATTCACAGAGAAGTGTGCTCTCTGTATCTAATCCCATTTTGTGATTGCCATCAGAAACATGTTGGGTCAGTTGAAGTACACTACAGACCTGAAGTTTTAGCACACCCTTTATTTTTTTTTAGAAATAAACGATACACTGGTTTTTCAAACTTTTATTACAAGAAAATATTAGAAATACTTAAATTAAACTGACTGGTTCTGAAGTGCAATGTAACAATTTACTGTACATTTTAATGAATGCGAGTACCTTTGTACGAGTTTCATCAAAATAACTACCCCTTGCCTTTATCACAGCAACACATTCACAGCATCCTTTCCAGCAATTGTTGGAAACAACTTGTCTAAACCCTCCCAGCGCCGTTTTAAGCATGCAAACAGCACTGTCTTATTGGCTAGACGTTCATTTTAAACTTGTTGGTCCGTCTTGCCCAATGGATGGATTTTTGTCTATCCACAAGACCCTCTCCCAGTCCTGAATACTCCGGGGTTTGTGTTGTTCAGCCTATAGTAGAGACTTTTTCGTGCTAATACCATGAAGTAAAGGTTTTCTGGCAGCAAGTTGACCATTCAGTGCAGCTGCTCCCAGTCCTTGCTTGACTGTATTAAGAGATACCGGTTTCTCTCTGTTCACATTAATCACAGCCCTCAGACCATTACAGTCATCTTCCAGTTTCTTTTGCATGTCACAACTAAGTGTTGACCTTCAGCCTTTGTCACTTTCCTTGCCCCAAACTGTTTCCGGTCACTGTTGCTTCCTGTCAGTCTTTTTCTGTGTAAACAGTAGGGTACTCCATGCTTAGAAATATTTACACTCTGGCTATTTGGTGATGAGAGAACCCTTCTTCACTCAAAACTTTGATTTAAGCCCCTCTGTTCAATTGTTAGCTGTATATTTATCAAATTCTGACTCATCAGTTGTGATACAGTACAACCGAAGATTGAAATGTGGAGCAGACTGTACATTAAACCTCTGACAAACTGATCTGGGACAAGGCAGTCAAGTGGCTATAGTTTAGTTTATTAAGACACAATCAGGAGAGGCCAAGAGTAAACCAAGGTCTGACATTAGTAAGTAGAATTCCAACACAGTGTATGTTAGTGCACTAAAGAGAGACCTGATATGTCTTCAAAACCAATAGTTTCAGCTTTTGTGGCTAAATAATGTGATACTACAAGCTATAAAATACTGAGAACAGGTTAGTTACAGTTATTTTGAGTGTTTCTAATACTTTCTGTAATAAGTTTAACAAAGCATTGTATCGTTTATTTTCCTAAAAATCCTCGGCTGGGTCCCTAACGTCTCGTCTGTAGTGTATATCTTCAAGACACTGGCTCTGGAGAACCTATAGAAGCAGGGATTAGTCATTATGCAAAAGGAAGCTTGGGTTGTCCATTACCGGGCTCTGTTAGCTGACTCTACAATTCTTGCTCCTTTTTCGGTTTCGGGCCCAATTTCATTTTCCTGCTACAAACCATCCCTGTGTTTTTCCCAAGTGTTGTTGGTACTGGGTTTTATGCTATAATTGGACACCACAGACTGTAAGAGTAATGATACCCACCTGAAAAAATGTGCAGGAATGAGAGTTTGGTCGGGTGAATTCGATCATTCCAGTCTGACCTGCTTTCAAAGAGTGGGCACTACAAATTTGCCAACACAAACATTGAATAGGCCAGGAATGGGCTGTAGCTTCTTGGAGGAGAACACACAGGAGGTGCTTTGGTCTAGAATGAGGTTAGATGTTCAGCTTTTTAAAAGATCATGACCAGTGCAGGTTTCTAGGACATCAGCGACTTAATGTTTGGAACTCCCACCTGAGCTTTAATCCCCACACCCTCTTATCTGCATCAGTTAGGTATTCATTTTCAGTTGCTCAACCTGGTTTGTGGCGCCTAGAGAAAGGAGACAGACACATTGTCCCTTTTATTACCCATCATTCCCTGTGTTTATCCACAAGCCGTACATGCGGGTTGTCTGACTGAAAGAATTGCCCCTTGACCTTCCTTGCATGGCAGGCGACAATGCCTTAAAAATTCTAGATGTTTTGTCTGTTGAAGGAATCTCAATGTCCATAGGACAAGTGTCCAGTTGTCAGATTCTCAGAAAGGTAAGAGTAGATGTTGGGGTTTGGTTTTCGGTTTTCCCTCTCAAAATGGTGATGTACAATGGCACATTGACAGCTGAAGTGCCTGAAGTTGGTTAAGGTCCACAAGGTGTTGAAGTTAATGTGTTCACATGCTTGAAGGGTCTAAGAAGTAGAGAAACGTGTCCAAGAAAAGCACTTTTAACAAGCACTGCTGGCATTTCTTTCATTTGTGTGTCATTCAATGTGATGTTTTAAGGATAATCTTTTCCCTCCTAATCCAAATACATTTTAAAGGTATTGCACACAACTTAATCTGTTATGGTGATCTACGTTTCAGTCATACAGTTATCTTTGCCAGGCATCAGTTTTTTGGTTGTGAAAGCTGATCTTGTGCAGAATTATTGTAGAGCAATCAAAGTCAGTTTATACGGGCAGCTCACAAGAATTATAACCTGTCACCTCCATCTTAAAGCTATGCGACTACATTTGATGGTGTTAAGATTGTCCGAAATTGGATATGAAATATTGGTTTTGACAACAGGTATTGAGTCTGCACTTTGTCCCCACCTCTCAAAAGTGCAAATAAGTCTTCAAAAAAGACCAAAGATGGTCTGTGTTATTTACATGTAGTCTGCCTAGAATCACTGGGTCTTTGGAGAGCAGAGACATTAACATGGCAGTCAAATAACTCTAGTCTTGGTTCAGTGGGGTGCTGTCAGCAGCCGACACAATTAAAATAGTTTGTTAGGTTGTTGCTCACCATCTTTCTGCCCTAGTGGCAGACAAGGCTGCTCAAGACCGATGGAATGGTCTACTTCTCACTTGTCTAGCAGTTAAAGCCGTGTATCTGTTTTCCCGAGCAGTTGCACTTCGGACCCTGCTGTCTCGTCCCGGAATGCGCCATTCCGCATTTCAGGGCTCTGGTTTCAGTTTGGAATAGCTTCACTATAGGAAGCAGTAGTTTAATTCCATACCTATAGCCCTTCGAGAGAGATCTAAGAATGTCATTTAGGATTGCCGGCATAAGGATAGCCTGTCTAGGCAGACCAGGGAAGAATCACGTGCCGCGTCAGTGGGATGAATTTGCCACTAATCTGGTGGCACTTTGATAGATTCAGAATCTCAGGAATCCTTGTCAAATTGTAGGTGTAACAACTATAATCAATATAATGCACATTTCAAGATTGATATGGAGGCTGCACAAGCAGGTTAAGTATAATCCATTTGTTTCTGAGGCTGTTTTTGCTGATACATCTGAGGAAGGTCTCCAGTTGAGGATGGAATGGCGTGATTTCTAGGTGCTTTCTGAACTCGAGGTCAAATCAGACCAACCAGTAACATTTTCAGTCCCCATTGGTAACCCATCCATCCATCCATGACGTATAGCTGTTTGTCCTGCTATGGGATGTACAGTCAAACACTGTCCTCCTCTGATCCCTTTCCCCTGCAAAGGCTTTGCTGTGAATCATTCAAAGTTTCTGTAGTTCAGGTTTGTTAGGAATACTATACTGTATAGTTGCCTGTAGGGGGCAGCATCCCCCTATTCTGCATGTCCTCAAAGTCCCCTTTAGTGCGATTTCATTTCTGCAGATACAGTAGCATGTTATTGAATGTCGTATCCTGTAATAAATCATAAACGTCTCACTCTTCCATACATATTTGCATATTTCCCCAGTCATGGATATTAATCTTGAGCACTTCTGTTTGTAGTAGGCAAACGTGCACAGCTCTGTTCTGAAACATATTTTTCACTGTTTCTCCAGAGAGGGCCTAAACTTATTTTATGTATTTGCTGCATTTTAAAATTCATTCATAAACTATGTACACACACTAGGCCGTTAGTTGGGTAGCATAGCACTGTGTAATCTCTCTAAGCGGGTGTCTGAACAGCATGGTCTGTGTGTGTGGTGCACTGTGTTTCCAAATCATTCTGCAGCACGCAAATGTCAACAGAAATGTCAAGGGCTCTCGTTTGAATCTCTTACACTTCCTTGTGTTAATCTTTACTTGCAATGGTTGATGGGGCCGGTGAAGGCCTTTCTGAAATGGAGAGAACCTCCATGCCTGATGTTCTCAGGTGCCCCCATCAGCTGGTGGATTGCTCTGCCTTGGCCCCGATGGACCGACCCTGAGTGCATGTGAAGGGCATCTCTAGCCATGTGCTCCATGTGGGAATCTCAGTGCCTCTTGGTATATGGCTAAGATGATCTCGTAAGCAGAGGGCAGAGGTCATCAGCTGCATCCTCTTTGGTTGTTTTGAAATCTGTAACTTGGTCTTATTTTTTTAATAAATAAGTGTCTTATTGTCTTATTGTGTTATTGGGTTATCTTGGTGACCATATTGATAGGTAGCTTTCTCTAAGATGTCCTGCTTTCTGCCTGGGTCTTCTGGCTTTCTAAAGGCATTTTTGTTGTGATGTTTGACACCATCCGTCTTGTTTCTAGTCGTCCTTTTTCCACCTTTGGCTTTTCCAAGCGTCACCCTCTGGGTTTTTTCGTAAAAATGCACCAAACCAGACGGCTTTCGGCTGGTTACTTGTGCTTCTAATTAAATGAGAAGGTGAGCGCGGCGTGATGCACAAGCCTGTGCCGTGGGTGACGAGATGCTCTGCCCCACCTCCTTCCTTCCCTCTTTCAGGAGTCGCCGTCCGGTCGGCGCAAGGCCCTGGCCACCAGCAGCATCAACATGAAGCAGTATGCCAGTCCCATGCCCACGCAGACCGACGTCAAACTCAAGTTCAAGCCCCTGTCCAAGAAGGTGGTGTCTGCCACGCTGCAGTTCTCCTTGTCCTGCATCTTTCTACGTGAGGGCAAAGCCACGTAAGTTTGCTTATGGATGGCAGCAGCTTATTGGTTCCACCCAAACACCCCCTACTTCTCCCACGTATTGGGTCACCTGGTTTCTCCTGCATATTAGGTCACCCACTTGCCTCTTTCCCACCCTCCTAGCTCGCACGCTTCCCCCCATGACATACCTTACATTCCCATCATGCCATATTTACCCTCCCCCATTCCCTTTAAGTCTCACATTGGCTCTCCCATATCACTCTTCCCATGATTTCCTCTTCACCTCTATTGTTCAGCGCTTGTCTTATGGGCTCTGATGTTGGTAACTTTGTCTCCTGGGATCCCCATGGACCCAGAATACGCGCATACGAGGCCTCCCTGCATTCTTGCCCAGGCACACGCGTGTTGCACGCCGGCGTTCCAGACGCCTTCCCGCCTCATCCCATACATAAAACTTCCCCAGATTTTCCCGGCCAAAGCAGCCCTGCCTTCTCTGGCAGCCGGCTGACCTCAGTTAACCTCGGGTGATTCCACCGGTCACAAATAAAAACTCTATTACATAAGGTCAAATAGTCTGTGCGGCTGCAGAACAGAGTGCAAGCCTTCAGGGGGTGGGAGGGGGGGCGCGCAAAAGAGATAGATAAAGAGTGCTAATCCGCTAGTGTTATCTGCCTATGGCCTGTGCTGCACCTCTGCAGGAATGCAGGCTGTTACTGCCATCTCATCAACTTGCCCACCACCAGGTCCGCTCTCAATTTACAGTCTTTTCTCAGGCTCCCCTTTATGTTGAAGCCGCTATTGTGTCGACCCTCTCATGTCATGATGTGATGGAAAGGGCCATGAAAAGCCTCTTATTCATGCCGCTTTTACTACTAGTTTCAGCAATTTTTTCTTTACTTTAGATCTCAATGGTTGTGATGTACCAGTGATGTATCCGTTTTCTGTAGACATAAGTATGGCGGAGTGTCTCTTCTCAAGCACGTTTGTCATTTTCCCAGTTTGTGTGATTCTGGTGAGTTTTGCCCCAATCCCATGACTCCACTAGGTGGTCGTCCTTGTGATCTTGTGATCTTTTAAGTTATTCATTGTGATGACCTGGTGGTGGACCACCTAGTCATGTGACTGCTTTGTCACAGGGATGAAGACATGCAGAGTCTTGCCAGCCTGATGAGCATGAAGCAGGCGGACATTGGCAATCTGGATGACTTTGAGGAGGAGAACGAAGAGGACGAGGAGAACCGGGTTAATCAGGAAGAGAAAGCCGCCAAGATCACAGGTGAGGAGAGACCTGGAGTACGAGAGTGCAGTGCTTCCCTGGTCACGTTAACCGGTTGCCTGGCTTGTCAGGCCAGAGTTGCAGAACATACCATTCCTCGGTTGCAGAACCAATGCATGCCAAAAGCTTGCAAAAATGCAGAATCCTCATGGATGAGCAGTATAAACAGGTTGAAGGACCTCAGTGCTGGTCCTGAGCAGCGTTGGGCATTTCAGGTCCAGAAACTACAATTCCAGACCAAGATTTTGTTTCTACCAACCAGCTGAGCATAAAGAGTCAGTCACGAAGTGCTCAGCTGGTTGGTAGAAACAGAAATCTTGGTCTGGAATTATAGTTTCTGGACTTGAAATACCCAGTACTGAATATAGTGTGATGTCATTGCCTTCGTCAACCCACATGTAAGTTGGTTGAAGATGCTTAGATATTTCATGCATTGCTGGGCAGGTAGGCGTGAAACCTGCTGCATTACTGCCCCCCCACCCCGGGAACTCCTTGCATTAGACGGAACTGAGCTGCTGCTCTGTGTTGCGATCGACAGCTTTTGCCGTTCTGCCGGCAAGCAGCGTTGCAGACTAACCTCCATGCGGCGCTGTGCTGGTGTCTGTGGGGAGGTTCCTGGGCGGTGAGGTGTGCGGCTCCCGTTTCCTCATGGCTCATTCTTCTTCCGGCCACCTTTTCGTTTGCAGAAATAGTAAACCAGTTGACTGCACTCAGCAGCTCGCACGAGGAACCCGACGACTACCTAAAGTGGCCTAATAAGCCGACTGCTAAGTCAGCGAGTTCTTCTGAAGGTCTTTGAGGTTTTTTTCTACCCCCCCCCCCCCTTCCGTGTCACTCTGGTATCTCGCCCGTGCTTGTAGTGGTGTGGTCGTGCTGCCTGATACATCCCTTATTGTTTGCGCTCGGATAAGATGCATCGATTTTTCTTTTCTCCATCTGTGGTAGCTGATGTTGTTGATCTTATCGTTTTTGTTTGTTTGCATTTTTGTTTTGTCCCCTCCCCACATATTATCCTCTGCAGTTTGTAGTGAACCCCTGACCACCGAAAAACGAAATTCGCACTTCTTTCTCAGACTACCTGAACACGGATACTTAGATTTCTTGTAGCAAGTATTTTGGAAAGTGGTTTGCAAAAGATACCTGCGCAGATTTGCACTTCTAAAAACAAATGTTTTTTTAATCCATTTTCTCAGCTGGCTGCTGTAGTGGAAACATTTCCCAAGTTCTTCACTTCATGGTCGAATAGATGCATGCATGACTAGCCGACGTGTTGAATTAGTAGCATTTCAAGTAAAGGCATGCTTTTAAGCACTACATTTCCTGCTCTCTGAAGACAATGGCTTAATGGCAGAAAACGGGAGTGGTCGATCACTATAATTTTGTATTGCTGTCATTAGGTATTAATAATAGACCAATTAGTCTCACACAAACACACCTATTGGTGTTTATACTACAATAGATGGCGAATTTAAGAAGGTGTACTGTGTCAGCGGCAATGGCCAAACATGGTTCAGAACGCAGTGGCCCGGCTGTGAAGTGGAATGCCACACCTCCTTATCTGGCCCGAGGCACTTGAGGGCCACATAGACTGCGGCGCTGTCCCATGACGGCGGCTGGACGTTTCGGGATTCCAGGTGTTGGGCTGTAACACTGCTTTCCCTCCAGGGGTGGAAGAGGGTAGAGTCTCCCATCAGGAACTTGGCGAATAGGGCATGTTCTGGCTGTACTGCTGCTGAAATGGTTCACTCCAAAGTGTAGATTTAAATTTTTTTGAAATATTTTTGCTGCTCATTATTATTATTTCTTTTCTTTTTTTTGTTCATTGATGTGTTGTGTAAGAGCCATATGTCTCCTGTTGGGCCGTTTGGATTGACCTCTTTGGCTGTTTGGTTGTTTACTGATTAATTATTGCTGCTATCGTTTGGCAACAATCGCTGCAGAGCTCATCAGCAAACTGAACTTCTTGGAGGACGATGACCAGGGTGACCGCAGCATGGCCACCAATCCCTTTGAAGACCGCGGGGACTCTGAGCTAAATCCTTTTGGGGACCCAGACGAGGAAGGTATGAGGAGATGCTTAGTTGGAGGCGTGTGTGTTTTTTCACTAAATGATCGTGGTTCTTCAGTATAAGCCTGCTTGGTGGCCCTAGCTTTGTAGTCCCCCCCCAAATACTGAAATCACTTTGGTGTTTTTGTTTTTGTTTTGGGAATTTCACAATTAAAAGCAGAAAGTGAACAGGATTTTCTACACCTGGCAGGCTTAGTTCGCTTTCTGGCAGTCTGTTATATTTTTGTAAGTGATTTGATGAGGGTGTCACTGTATGAAAGCCTGACACTCATCAAGCTCTTTAACGGTCCCCGATTGCTCTGGGTGACATTCCTCGTCGCCCGTGATGACCCAGTTCATGGACCAGGCTCACGTCGAAGGCGTTATGCTTGTTCACCCATGAGAATGTTGGGCTGTTAGCCTTTTCAGGTCCTGGCAAGAGATGTAGATTGACATGACATGTCTGTTCATTTATTTTGTTTGCTCTTTTAAATTAAAGCTATAGCTGTTGAGTGAGGCGGCTTCAGATGACTTTAGAATATTGTCAAATGTCTGTCTCTGCTTCAGAAACAGGCCACTGACTGACTTGGCAGCGCACCACGTTTGCAGACAAACTCTTAAGTGTCTGTTCATAATCTATTTCACAGAGTCCATCTCCAAGCCCGCCTTCGTGGCCAGACAGAAGGATGAGGAAATCGCCTATGACCAGGATGCCACCAACCCGTTCAACGAGCCGGATATCGATTCGTCACAATACGGGAACCCCTTCGATGAGACGGACCTAGAACCAGACACCTCCAAGGCTGAGCAGGAACCGCCAAAACCCAGCAAGAAGAACGTGCATCCGGTGGACATGAGCAAGTACCTGTACGCCCATACTGCTCCGGCGGATGAGGAGGAACTGGATGAGTATGTACTTGACTGACCACCAGTATCATCATCTACCCTATGAAACTTATCTCGTTAATATAGTTTCTGTAATTTTCTGCACCTGATTGATTAACCCAGTCCCCACACTGTCGTCCTGTCACAGGTCCAATCCCTTTTATGAGCCCCGGACTTCTAGTCCAGCACAACCCATGACCCCCACTCTGGAGGTGAAAAACAAGAGGAAGGCCCCTGTAGCCCCCGCAGTGGCCCCCACGCCCCCGACACCAAATACACCCCCTGAGAAAGTGGCGGGTGGTCTTGCAGGAGTGAGGCAGGAGCTGGCCTCTTCCTCTCCCAAGGTGAGCTTGGTTTTAGCATGAAGCTTCGGTCAGTGTTGATGTATTCCAATCGTCTGCCTTATCTGACTGCGTGAGATATCTAATGCAGTTTGTGTCATGAAGAATTGCATGCAGTCTTCTCATACCTCGTCAGTCTAATTCCTTTTACCATGCAACGAATGAGTGGGATCCGATGGTACGGGGAGCAGCCATGTGGATATTCATCCATCCACACACACAGTTATGGTGCAGATGTTCAGAAGGTTGAACTACCCAGGTGCCAGTTGGTTGAGACTTTTAGATGTGGTGATGGAGAGCCATGGAAGGACACTCAAAACTAAGCACTGTGTGGATTTAAACATCATGCAGATGTGTTTTTTGAAACCTATGAAGTACAGGATTCAAGTCCACAGTCCTGGACATCTCCCCCACACCCCAAAAGAAAATACATCATACATACACTCATGTAGCTTTGTCTTTCAGCATTAGAATTAAGCTTGTCCTTTATCATGATTATAGCTGAAAGGGATTCATGGGGGGGGAACTCTCCACAGAGGCCTATGGAAAGGTAGATGGAGCTATGTCTGGGGGTGGAGGTGTCTGTCTGAGGACTGTACTTATGCACCATCTTATAGTAGCATCTTGGGGGGGGGAAACTCAAAGCAACTTTTTAGAAGATTTTTGAAAGAACGAAGGTTTAAGTTTTGAAGGAGAGAGGTCAGATCTTTCTTAGAAAATTCATATGGTCGGGCACACTCCCCACTCTGCAAATTAAAGAAATAATTTTATTAATTTATTTCTCATGCAGTTTGAGGCTTAAAGATATATTTTGAGTCATATGAAAGAAAGAGAACACTGATTTCTAGCATTTAGCTGATCTAGTTCATTAACATCTCAATTTCTTGTGAAATCCTACATAAAACAGTGAGTCGCATCGGGTAAAATTCCACTCCACAAGTCCAGCCTTGTTTTCGCTTCTCTCTGACACGCCGTGCTGCCCCGGGTGGACCTGTGAGTTTTAGTAACACTCTCCCTGCTTCTGTTCAGACCTTGTGGTGCAGTTGTCGCTCTGGTGACTAAATGAGATTAAAATCCTTCACCCAGGAACCTCTGTCAGAACTGGGACTTGAACCCACAGTGTGCAAAGTGTCCTGCTATCCAGAGTAAGCTAACTGGTCCGTCAACACTTCAGATTGGGGTGAGGCCAGGCCGCATGTCTGAGGCCTGAGGAGACGACAGAGCTCCAGGTCCTGGTGCGACGCTGCAGCATTAAGGCAGATGATTCTCCTTAATCCCTCCCACGGGCCGTTCTGTGTTTGAATGTTTTGCAAGAGCTGTTTGTTTTGGCAAGTTTGAAGCCGTCGGGAGGTGTGGGTTCTCATCCTAATGCGCTGTGCCATTTCGGCCAGCAGCATGCATGGCTGTGAATGCAGTATTTCCTGCCTGACGGCCACTCGTTGAAGTTCAGCTACCATCTGTTCTGCATCAGTGCCCCCTGTTGGCACTATATTGCAATGACATCGGCAGACGGGAAATGGGAAATCTTTTCTGTGCAATTTTTAAAATCCTCCTCTTTGCGACCATGTATAAAGAGGCATTTACATATGTGGTGCATCCCAAATGAACTGAACGCTCTGGGAACTTTGATGTTGGGTGCCAACACGGGTTTCTTTCATTTCGCAGCTTTATTTGTTTGATGTATTTCCCCCAGCAATGCAGTAGGTACAATCAGTTAATGGAATTAACATTAATTTGGTGTGTGAATTGCGTAAGCATTTCTCTTGGTGGCTCTGCAGAGCTAGTGGTGGGTGGTGGATGAGAGGGGGGAGAATCTGCAGTATTTACTCCAAACTCCACCAGGGTGAAAAGACCTCTAGGGTCTCTAATGTGGCCTTCTGTGTGAAGCCTTCAAGCAAAGCAAGGTGACTCGGCTTTTTTTCTTTTGCCCCCTGTATTTTTATTCCCTTCTTTCTTCCTTGTTTTGGGAGAGAAGCTGGGGATTGCTGGGGTGTGTTGCTGATCAGCCAAAGGAGGCATCAAATCTAGGGCAGACAATAACTTTTAGGACTAGGATGGGGGGCTAAGGTTGTCATAGTTTGGATTAGGGTCATGGCCACAGAAACTAATGGAGAGTCCCCATAAAGATACATGGACTGTGTGTGTGTGTGTGTGTGTGTGTGTGTGTGTGTGTGTGCACGTGCACCAATGCACCCATCTATCCCTACAGCCATGGCAGCGACATGAGTAGTCAGACAGCTGTTTCTGGATTTTCACCAATTCCACGTTGCCGGAAAGCTAACTGCGAACTTCTGCCCTCCTGACAGTCTCTGTCAAGCTTTGCCATTTTTTGATCTCTCATTCTTTTCATTAAATGATCTGTGTTTTCACATCACAAAGCCACCAGTCTGGTTCCAAGCCTTGGAATGGCTGCTGTTCTGGTGTCACAGAACTATCAGTGCCAAAAATCTGCATGCAGAGCCAAGGCAAAGTGTCCAGGTCTTCTGAGTACCTGCAGAGAAAGAGCTCGAGTTGTTAGTCTTCAAAGGGGTTTAAAAGCTCAGGTATTCTCGTGTCCAGTGTTTTTTTGCTTCTTGGGATTACTGCTCACGGAGAGGCTGCAGAATGGGCCCGGCGACGAAAAAGACGAAAACGACAATGAATCTTACTGCGGTTTCCGGGAAGTGTACCTGTCTGAGCGAGGAAGTCCTCGGCCTGTGAATTTCGAAAATCCCATAATCCTCTGTGTTTGATGTTTCGGAGCTAATGGCTTTTATTAGGGTGAGGCCAAAAGGTGCTTTGTGTGGAGAGCGCTTGCTTGCCGTGGTTTTGAATGACATGGTGGGGCAGGGAGAGAGAGGGGTAACTTTAGCTTAATCTGGGCTTATCCTGGCGCAGCGCACAGGTGTGTGTGGCCCTAAACCCAGGTTGGGGGGGGTCCCAGGAGATCAATATTATCCCTTGTTGCTAGTGTTAGCTAAGGGGGAAGCTTGGCATCCCCTTACCCAGGCCCATCCGTCTCCCATTCCCCTGTCCTCCTTACTAGCGGAATACTTGTTTTTAATTAAATTGAATCAAATGTGGTCCCCCCACCTTGCTTCTGAAAAACAAAGATGTCTCACAAATGTGTACGATCTTGCAGCTGTTTGATGTGCTCATTGGCTTGATTAGCATGATTGGCGTGCGGCAGCAGCAGCAATAAAACCTTTAATCATCGTGTAAATGGCTCCCTCGTCTGACCCTTTGCCTTCCACCGTCGGCTTGTTGTAGAGGCATGCCTCTGCCGGGACCTGAGAGCAGGCCGCGTCCTAACTGGGAACCATGTCAGCCGGCCAGTTTCCTCCACGAGTGCTCTTCCTATTCATCCTATTATATGTTATTTTCTTAACCGGAGCCGTAATCCAGAGTGGCTTACAAGGCTTATAATTGTAGAGTTAATCTTTTTATACAGCTTGATATTACCGAAGCGGTTCAGTTTTAAGTGCCTTGTGCAAGATTATCAGGACCTTTCTGGGAGCTGAATCCCACATATCTGGTTCCTTTAGGCCTGTAGGCCTCTTTGATGGCCCAAGGACGAGCCAGGGCTGGCATGCATGTGGGTAATCGAGCGCCTGAGCTGTCTTCGTGGTGCCTCTTGATGCTCGTTCTAATATGTTTGCTTGAGCATCCTTGCCATTCCTTTAGATAGTGAATACTCCCCTACCCCCCATTACCCTCTGCACTTACCAGCATGGCATCCCTCAGTCCCCAGACCCAGTGGGGAGCCGTAACCTGGGCGCCATGCCTGAGTCCCAGCCCGCCCACGAGCGCTGAAAAGCCACGCCCGACCAATCATAGCTGTGCTTTCAAACCAAGGTGCCGGCGCCAAGGGGAGCCTGGCGGCAGCTGCTGGCATCCGTCGGCGCCGCGTGACTGCGGCGTGCCCCGGCCCCGCCGCTTGAAAGCTTCATTCTCCTTCAGGGCTTTTGGCTTGAGTGCCGGTGGAGGGAGTGACGAGCCTTCAGTCCAGCTTTGATGGTCCACTTTCATTCTGTGGGCAAAAAGAACTGCTGAGGAAAAGGTCTCTCATGCGCATTAGTGAGAGCTAGTCTCTGGGTCAACCCCCATCTCTGCTGTTAATGGGCCCCTTTTAGAAAACGTCGATCACTCCTCACAGCCCAGTTGATGCATCCAGCCTTCAGTGTATAGGGGTGTCTTCCTGATTATCCTTCACTGCAGGAGCTGGTCCTGTACACTGATCAAGTTTTGTAGATAATATTTTTTTTTAACACAAAGACTAGAGTTTTGTAACTGCATCTCCGATTACCTCATCAAAGATCTACCCAAGGCAACTGAGGGAGCATTTAAATTCGATCAGTGTCTCACAATTTTAGATGCCTTTTCTGAAGTCTTTTTAGTTTTTTCTAGTTTTTTCTTTTAATAAAAATGTTATGGAATATTTTGTTTTGTCAGCAGAATGGTGATAGATGCACAGGTGACATTGTGGCTGCAATGGAAGCTGTTCAGTGCTGTCGTACATTTTTGTCACGCATATGTTTTAGCTACATTTGTTTGTCCTGCTTGTAATGACACTTTCATGGTTAAAACAGCGTTTGAACGAATGCCTGTTTTCTGCCTGTTGGATCAAACGGCCCGACGTGGGTGTGTGTGTGTGTGTGTGTGTGTGTTTTTTTTCTTCATATATATATATATATAATTTTTCCCCCTCCTGGCGACATCAATTGAGCCAACGTTCACTAGCGCGTGCGTGGGAAAACGCCGCTCACGGCCCCCGCCTCTCGTCACGGCAACCCAGAGCTACATCTTGCACGTTATTACGTGCCGCCGCACATTAGGGATTAGCGTCGCGAGCGCGCTGCATCGCGCTGCCGTTCTGTTTCTTTCCCTACATACGCCCCCCTCCCACCAAATTGAATTTAGTCTTGGAGTCATCGCTCAGCATGTGCGGAGCTGCAATTACATAAAGGTGCCTCCTTCCCTGTAGTTACTGTAGATGCATGACATACAGAACGGACGACAAAATCCTGTTGCCCTGCTGGACACTGTGTTGACTTAATCCTTTTGCTGTGTGTGTGTGTGTGTGTGTGTGTGTCTGTGTGTGTGTGTGTCTGTGTGTGTGTGTGTGTCTGTGTTTTAATCAAGTTCAGAATTACCTTCAAGTAAAATGTTTTTATTGACAATTTTTCTGATTTGAGTACAAGTAGTTTGAGGGCAATAGGTGGTGTATAATTTGACTGTTACAGCTGCTGAGATCTGATTCTTTCCATTCTTTCACAGAGAAACTGGCCTCTTCCTTTACTTACTGGCGGGTCTGCATGGCTTGCTCCCACTGCTGTTGCCTGCAGTTATAAATCCAGATAGAGAGGTAGAAATGTCAGGATGTGTCCCAGCATGCTCTAGGGTTTTCCGGCTTCATTGGGTAAACTGTTCTGCACGTCCTGTACCTCCACATTACATGTTTTTAAGGAGTTTAGAAGTGTATCATGTCCTCATGTGTGACGTCCCTTGACAGTGTGAAGTTTTAATTTTTCCAAACTGTGATTGGATTTGTGTTTTGGGGTCACCTTATCTTACAGTAGCAGTTATATTTGAAGGTCATGGTACTTTCCGGGTCAGTGGCAGATATTTACCTCTCATGCCTGTTGTTTCCTTGTGCATATTCATATGTAAGATGATTTCCCTTCAAGGTTAGTAAGTTCTTTGCAAGCCGTTATTTCCCCTTATAAAGACTCTTTACTTCATCTATCTTTTTTTGATTTATGGCCTAAGCAACCTAAAGTGAAGTGGGTAATTATGGTTGATCTGTAATCTTCATCGCAGTACACAGACATTAGGGAAGCTGTACTGTCTGGCCTGTGTCCTCTCTGGACATGGCAGTGCACAGCATGAGTGTGTAACCCCCCCCCCCAGACCGGACGCAACCCTTCTTCATTGCAGCAATAACCCTGCTTGCGTTGTTTACTGCTCATTTACTTCAGCAGATAAATGTCTCCATCTTCTACTCAAAAACAAAACGGTGCAGTTCAGGTCCAAGCTGTTTTCCTGAATTTAAATCCTCTCTAATTTACCCCTTTTTTTTGTCACAGATGATAGGAAATGCATTAATTTTAACGTGCTGTTTTACAGGCTGCCCTTGTACGTTGATAATCCCTCCTCCAAGCGGAATGAAATGGCAGGCCAACCCCTAACCCCAACCACCACCCAGCGTCCTCCGGGGCGACACACCGAATCGTTTAACTAGTCCTGCCAGCCAGTACTCCCATCCACATGCCCCCCCCCCCCCCCCCCCCCCCCCCCCCCCCCCCCCCCCCC